CTGTCAGCTGACTCAACTTAGTTTATGACCTTGCCACCTGGCCTTCAGCAGAAACTAAGTTCTTTTCAACTTTAATGCTCTTAAAATGCATTGTGCTAAAGCTTATATTTATGTACGCCGAGTCATCACAACAACCGTCACCAGTGCGTGCGACTGGAAGCTCTTTCTATGGATCAAATAGTACACCAGAGTTATTATTTTGTTAAGTTATTTCTTTGTATTTTCATGCCTGACAATATATAAAAGCACAAGTACAAGGAATATCGATTGTACGATGGACAAGTAGCTTTTAGGATTATAAACATCCTATGAATTTTTTATATATGATGGACAAGCACAAGGAATATCAGTTGATAAAAGAACAAATAATAAGCTGTACAAACATCAATATACGCGAGAAACACACGAAGGACGAGGAAAATATACATATGAGTGTGTGTGTGTGTTGTTCATATAGGCGTCGTCGTGATGGGCACAGGTAGCAAATGACCTCTTGGAAGCATTAGTTACCCGCAGCCAACTGCAAAGGACGGTTCGGAGGCCAGATTTTACCATCGCCGTCGTTAGGGGTGTCTATGGGCCAGGTTACTCACGGATCCTGTTATTCGACCCAAAAAAAAAAAAATTGGTCCGATAGTTGGCCTGCCCGAACCCGAGCCTAATATCCTTTAAGAAAGGGCTTGAGTTTACCTCTAAATCCATTATCCAGCCCGAAAGCCCGGCCCAATAACCCTCCCACATGTCCGAAGCCCAAAGCCCATACCCGCCCACATATGTTTTTTTTTTATCAAACATATATGTTTATGTTAAGAAGTGGAGACTTTAGATTTTAAGACTGATGTATATTTTTTCATGTATTAAATATTCTACCTTTTCATGTACAAAAGTTTTTAATGGGTAGAATTGTGCAAATGATAAATAGGTGGGTAGGTGTCAATCTAGTTGGGATGTACTCATTATATAGTGATGCAATTTCTCTTCTATTCATTTGTTAAAATTATTCACTATTTAATTTTTGTCTATTTTGATTTTGACTATATTTTTAATTCAAAAATATAATATATAAAAAAATTAAATAATATTGTATATTTTTTCAATAGGGCCCAATAAAAGTCTACCCACAAAATCCGCCCGTCAACCCCGTCCAATAGGTGACAAGCTGGGCTGCGGATAGCTTATCTCAATCCGAAATTCGGCCCGGCCCGTCGCTAGCCCGAGTACGGGCTTGGGCCTACACTTTCCAAGCCCGACCCGAAAAAATTTTGCGGGCCATGGACAACCCTAGACGTCGCCATTTTCATCCCTCTCTCTCTTGTCCTTGTTTGTAGTAGTGCATCTCTTACTAGCCCCTAGGCGAAAGGGCTCAAGAACGCTACTATTCTGACACCAACTAGAAAATTCATAATATAAACCATGCTAATCTCACAGGCTATGCAAATATTTTGATTTGATGTTCCATTTTAAGATTAAAATTTTGAAAATTCATTTTCAAATTTTGCCAAAATTAAACTTTAAAATTTCTTTTTTTGAGTAAATTTCAAATTAACATCAATGTTGCATCAAATTTCAATGTAACATTCACTTTTATCAAATTAAAATTAAATTTCATCAAATTAATACAAAATTTTATTCAATTACGTGAAAATTGATCTTAAATTTTATAAAATCAGTGTCTATTTCAACATATTAATATTCAATCTCATCGCATCGATATTCAAATTTATAAAATTAACACAAAATTAATATGCAATTTCATCAAGTTAATCCCAAATTAACATTTAATTTTATCAATTTAACATCTAATTTATTAAATTAATATCAAATTAACATTCTGTTTAATTGAAAAAAAATTGATAGAAAACACTGTTGAATCTAATTAATACTAACAGGATGTTGCCTATTGCTTTAAGCTTATTCTCTATGGCCAAGGGTAAACTTGACAATTCATAAGGAAAAAAAGTCATCATATCACCAACTTTTTTATTTGTCAATGAAATATGCTGTAGTTTGTGAAACGTGTGTATAAACTATAGACGTGTGCAGTGATATTTGAAAAATCAAAGAGGGTTGATATCTCAACTATCCTACTATCTTGCTTACATACCGAACAAATGTTGCACCTTATAAAAAAGCGACTCTCCACACAAAAGGATATGGTGTCCCCAAGAGACTACTTTTCATAGGATATTTGAACTCTTAGACCCACCTGAGAGATTATTATAAACCAAGAATTCATCAGAAATAGAACACATAGAGGATCTCTGACTTTGTCGAATGAGAGATTTTTAGGGCACAAAGGGTAAGGATTGATGTAAAGTGCCATTTTCATTTGAGACTGCCATTAAGATCTCTCCAATCATGGTATCCCACATCAAATGACCAAACCACAGCAATCTGATGAAGGGGACAGTCGCAAGGAGAATTTTTTCATTCACACGAGGCAGACAAAATGGCAGGAAGACAATAAGCCTCCTTACCATTGTCTGTCTCAATTAACCAGTTTAGGAATGACCACCACTAGCTTCATGGTGTTTCAGGGATGAATATTTGAAGAAGGCTATGCAAGAGAGCTGTAACCCAATCAGCCTATGAGACACATCACTGCAGGAAGAGATTGAGAGCTACTGAAGAAATTGCATCAGGCTGGGCACACGGCTATGCTGCCACGCCCAATGTGTAATATGCTGTTTAAAATGCTATATAATACTGTCCTACAGCTTTTGCTTATTTTCCGAGTTTAAGAGGTACTTCAAATGCATTACTAGCCTTTAACACCCAGGGGTGTCTCCCCAGTCCAGTGAACGGCTGCCTGCCTCTTACAGGCTGGGTGTGACAGTGTTAAAATTGTTGATTAGTACTTCACATTACTCCAGGGCATCTCATCTGGTGGCCAGGTAAGGCGGTAGGTGGAAGGCGGAAGGCCAAGGGCTTGCCAACTCTGACACAATTTTGCAAGCTCAGGCAAATCCTCGCAGGTAGTAGTGTCATTCGGCTTGAAGAGCTGGAGGAACATAAACCAACACCAGAAACACCACAAGCAGCCAAGGGCTATATAACTTGGCCATTGCACAACTAAATTTCAACCCATTAGGTCATGCTGGGATTTTGTAGCAGTTTTTGTGAAGCACTGAAGGATCTAAGAAAGCATTGCAGATACCAAGGCATACCCTATTCAGCCACACAACCTCAATAGCTACCATTAATAAGCCGATATTCAACAATTTCATGTTTATGGTAATGACAAGGAAAAATACACAAATTCTCCATCAAGACCTGATGCATCAGGAAAAACTCTCTCATCAAAATCTAAAAGAATTGGGAAAAAAAAAACAGCAGCAGAAAGGTGAACATAGAAACTGAAAGAAACCAAGAAGGCCAAAGCACAAAAAGAATTGAAAGAAAAGAAACTAATCATTTCATCCAAACCTCAACAGATACAGTTTTCAGTCTTCCTCATTGTCTCTTTGCATTTAGATCACTCAAATTAGAAGCATATGTCACTCGATTTTTCTTTTTCCTTTTTTTTTTTATGGGTTTGGGAGAGAGAGAGGGGGAGGGGTGCATCAGTGTAACTGCATATGGCTGAATCTAGCCAGAATAGTCAGGAAGCTGGACAGTAAAATTCCTATAAGCAACACCCCCAAGTTTCATTTTTCCAAATATTTTATCGCAGTACATTCATGATTTACCTTATAATTCACTGGATTCAGAATGAGAGTACAATAGAGATTTATTATTACCTATCACCGCCATATTAAGTCAACATGCTTGTTGGTTAATAGTTCAATGGGGTCCAATTCTAGTTGATGCTTTACAGAAAACTACACTACAAAATGATATCTAGAATGCTGTCAACAGCATTTGATTTGGTTCCAATGAGAAGGTGAAGAATTAACCAACTCAGTTGATAAAACTTGAAAAATTACTACAAACTTGTCTGATACCATTCCCTCTCTCCAAATAAAGCATCATCAACTCAGATTTTGAAACTGTGATTCAGCAAATGGAATGGGACACAATAAACAAAAAAGGCTCAGGCTAGTTTTCATACACTGATCTATATATAATGAGGTGCACTCAAGTGCTACTTACAGGACATAAATGACAAGAATTAGATGGCATGCCATACTATTGGGAATTGATAATGCACTCACATTAAAATAAGAGTTCACATTTGCATGAAGAAATGACAAGCATATTCATCAAAGCTAGTTCTCAAAAAGCTGCAGTCAGAGACTAAACAAAAGTAACTAAACAATAAATGAAACAACCCTTAATGAAGAATTTCTCAGATGTTATAGGAAAATTTCATAAAAAATTCTTGATCTGCTTACCGTATCACCCGATGGAACTAAAGGCCACAGTTTTGTAATCAGGCTGTTCTCAACATTTGACACCTAGTTTATATGTCGAGTTTTTCCCTAATATACCATCAAACATATTTATAACCTCCAACTCCTTCACAAGACATGAATTCATTCACCAATCTACTCAAACCCAGAGTAAAGCCATGTGAGCATTTGAGCATGCATCAGTCTAAAAGAGCTTAAACTTTCAAGAGACTTATGTCTCTCAACTAAGGAAATTCACACAAACCAAATCAGCTATTTTGGTGATTCAAGGATTTAAAGCATACAACAAATGAGGAGTACATGCTTGTCTAATAAAATAGCATTTGAAAGAGGAGAGTTTTATTTATTTAGTTATTTAATAGAAAACACAAAGTTGAACATACTGATATCTCTGATCCATAGTTGAACCAGAGAGAGACAAACACTGATAAACTCACTGACCGACAAACCAATGACCAACAGACTGACTAATCATGATAAGAAAGACCATGGGTAATTCTAACCGACCGTCTAAGCCAGAGAGATACGCCCAACAGACCAACTAACAAAGAAACCACTGACAGACCAACCGAACACAAAAATAAACAAAAACAGACATAAGTAATACAGCTACTCCAAACCCTCCTCCAACGGACTCATTTAGGAATCTCAATCCATAAATGGGTAGAAGGAAGACTCTGTCTCAGCTGGGTCAGCAACATTCAAATCAATAAATCTGACCGGGTTGGCAGAAGATGGCATTGCACAAAACTGCTGGACCGACAGTTCTTTGACACGCTCCACTAACTTGCCACGCAAATCTTCCATAAGTTTTTTTGATATCATCAGCTGCCTCAAATTGAGCTCCTCCATCGGTCGTCCCAACCAGCAGTGCTTCTGCCTCTCCATTTCCATCTGTTGCAGCATCTCACCTCGTCTCTTCTCTGCTTCAATTTGCTGGCACAGATTATTGTATCGTTGGTTGAGCTCAGCCACAACGGGGTTCTGGTAACCAGGCACCGACATGGGCCATTGGTTAAGGAACCTATTGGTTATTGTATCAACAGAGGGATGGCCAAAAGAGAAGGGTTTCCCACCCGGTGAAAAGACAATGATAGCAACCTGTGCACCTGTCAAGGTGCAAAGTTCATTTGCCTTTTTGAAAAGGCTTGCTTTGCGCTTTGAGAAGGTTACTTGGCGAGCCCCTTTTTGTGGAATCATCTTCAGTTGGATCTTTCCGCGACGCTGGTTCATCTTTCTCGCCATCACAATTTATAAAAGAGAACTGGAATGCTAGTTTTCCTTGGGATGAGTATGGGAAAATGGAGAACAGGAGACGTAATTTATAGGCCAGAGCAGTGCCGTTCTTCCCCATAAATTAATATTTAATTTTGGTAGGTGTTTAATAACTTACTTAGTTAGGATATTACAAGAATCTAATTACACCAGCTTGAATTCTCTTCGCTGGCATAATAAAGGTCAAGCCAACCGTTAGAGATGTGCGGCAGAGATTTTAGGTGAAGATTTATCATTAATGTAGATGAAAATTATATAGCATAAAGAGGGTTGATAATTAAACCGAACTACTTGGACTCGGCTCGGATAAGACTCGACTCGATAAAACAAGCCGAGCTTGAATACTTTTTTAGGCTCATTTAGAAACACGAGCTCGACAGACTCGGCTTGACTATTAGCCCTTAGCATAAATATTTTTCTTTTCTTTCGATTAAATAATCTACAGAGCACAATCAAAGAAGGGGTGTCTCAACAAAATTGTGTCTACGCATAGAGTTGGCCATAACGTCTCTCCAGTGCCTAGATGGCATTACTGGTAAAGAGGTAATACTATTGTGGGGTTCCCCCCAAAAAAAATGAGCCCACGGGGGAGCAACCAAAGTGTATTTAGTTACCCACACCTAACATAGGGGTAAGACTTTCCAAACCTCACTATAGGCAAAAGCATTGTCCACTGAGTACTTCCTTTTATATTCAGCTTATGGACAATCTCAGTGTTCGGACATGATAGACTCCATCATAAAAACACATGTAATTTGTTGGAGTTATAGCAGTCTAGTTTATTAGGGTTTATTAGAGTTTTTTACCTTTTTATCCTTATTGTGACTTTTATTGGCTATATATATGGGGGTTCTACACTTAGTTTGTATCCCTTTTCACTCACGTTATTCCAAGTTAATTATATAATTCCATTGACCAAAATGACATGTTTGATTTTTTCTTTTTCTTTTTTTGTATTTAGATGATGACAAGCAAACCTAAGCACTAAAGGATGTCTTTACTCTCACAAAGTCAATTGCATGATCAGGTTTGATGCAAACCTATGAAAGCAGAGACCTAATTCCCAGTATCTTCAAATCACATGAGAATAATTATTGAGACCTGGTGAAAAACTCATTTCCATGGCAAATCTTGCTTCTTGGGGAAGGAGAGACATGGGGCTGTTTGAGACAAAAGAAAAATAGAACTGCAACCATTAGATTAAGTATGCATATAATCAGCCATGTATTACACACAAATAAAACAAGAATAAATAAAATCAGCAAAATAGAAACCATAAAAACTTTAATTTTCCTTGAATAGTGTGATATTAGACCTTTTCACCATCTATATAATAATACCTCCCTCCCATACAAATATATTAGCCATGTGGACCTCTCTACTCATTGCCAGTTTGTTTAGAGTTGGATGGTTTAACGCATTATAAATTATGATAGCTATTATTCTTAATTCAACTCTTCCAGAAAATAACGCTTATTTTAACGTCAACATTTTGAAATATCATTACAGCTTCCACAAGCACAAGAAGGAACACACAACCAACCAAAAACAAACCCCATGAAAAAAAAATTATAAAATGAAAGAACACTAGATAGAAAACCAATACCACTATCATAGGAATCAGCTAAATGGACTATATATATGTCAAATACAGTGCAGTGATTTTCCATAGCACACAGACCATGGACCACTTCAAAGTTATAATTTGGCAAAATGAGGCTGTCTGTCATAGCCTGTAGTTCATTTCATTATAATTAAATACCCATAATCGGCAGAATGGAAACTCAAATGAAATAATACCCAAGCAAAAACGATGTGGCCTGTATTGGGCCAATTTAAGGTCTTTTCAAGCTGGTATCAGGTTTCCAGTGAAAAGAACCAACTACCGTCCTGTATACTCTAATTTTGTTACGTTCAATACCTAATTCACAGTAAGACCTTGTTTCCCATTGATTGCTTACTTCTTAAATAGATGAGGGAACAGTATTTTTACCTGAAAGCAACTTCTTACTAAAAAATACTGCATGAATATATGTATTTGAAACTTAATTAACAGTAAGGAGACATAACATCACAGCTGTGTTCGCTTTGTACATCACATTATGGCTGACTACCAAAAATTGGCTATTTTACACCATGAAATTATGTTTTGGTCTTTCTTCACCTTTTCTTCTGGTAATAAACATGGGAATGTTGTTCACTTGCAGCTATATTGATGGGAATAGACTATATGCGATTGTTCCCATCAGTTTATGCATTGTATAACTTCTGATGCAAGGGAAAAGTACAAAAAATGCTTTTAAGAGTTTCCTTACATTTTTTTTAAAGATTTTATTGACAGATTTAAGATTTTTTTCCAATCATCTCGATTATTCATGGTAATCTCATTAGTCATTTATCATAAGACAGCAAAATGTACATATAGCATAAGTGTGCCCCAAAACTACTATTCTAAATGGGAATATGGAAAGTTGCTACAATTAAATGTGGTGGATACGTATGGTTTTCACAAAAAGCAGAAGAGTAAATCAGTAGATCATTGAAACTAAATTTAGTACCTTGTCTTTCCACAAACCGGACATTCCCACTCAAGTGCTGAGTAGCAAAGAATTATGATCACATACTCCCGAAATCCAATAGCAATGATACCCATATGTCCATGAACAAAACAAAAGTACCGAGTTGAAAGCGATTAAATCAATATTTACACATATGTAGACATGTAGAGAGAGGGCAAGAGAGATAGAGAGACAAAGAGAGGGCATAGAATTGATTCGTTGATATATTATAGGTTATGCAGGGCAACAAAAATGGAGAAGTTATCATTATTCCAATATCATGCACCATTTATTCACAATTTATTGAGTAGGAAAACTAATTTAGTTATAGTTGGAAAGCGAACATACTTGTTGACCATGCTACAACAGCCAATAAAGTCCACATCTCATCATTACCAAATTTCATGGGAATGATAATATCAATTAAAGTACATATGGATAAGATGAGAGAGCTTAGAAACTGGCTTTGACTCCTGCATTGATTTTTTTTCCCTCCTTTTTTGGTTGGGTTGTTGGGATGAAGTATGGTGTCACTTAACAGGAAAAACTAATATGCATAGCCTGAAACATTGCAATCAATAGTACGTGCAGGCAAAGACAACACGTTACATGCCCTTGCAGGAGTGTTCACAATACATATCTGGTCTTTATACTTTGAACAAAAACTGCAATTTATTCTGAAAAAGTCATTAGCTGATATTACGTGTACACAGAGTACCACGCAAGTTAAATTTAAATTAAAAGCCGGATACTAATTGCCTTTTTGACACAGTTTTCCAATGGCTTCGAGCCTTATTTCTTTCACCAATTTCCATAAAAACAACAGTTATTCAAGAAATACAGTTTTTCACCAATTAAAACTTGGGAAAATTTCATCCACACCTCATGTAGATAGGCCTAACTTCAGTGACACCCCTTCCTGATTCTGAAATTTCACTGACACCGCTTGTCAGTCTTGGTCGAGCAACAGACGTGACGGAAATGCTTCTTTTACCACTGTACCTTTAAACTTTATGTGTATATATATAAACAGAGAACCCTTCCCTAAACCACCCCTTTGCCACCCCTTCTTACCTATTCTCACATCTTCTGCCACCGTTTGCCCCTCCACGGTATATATATATATATATATATATATATACATAGGTTTGTGATGGGCATTGATGCAAGAGTTGTGGTGGTGGGCATGTGAAAACTGGTAGTCGATGGTGCGTGTGCATACATGTGGGAGTGGTTGATGTCAAGTGGGTTTGGGACAGATTGGAGATGGGTGTGGGGCTAAGTGAAGGCTGAACTCTCTCTCTCTCGTATAAGTGAGGTGGGAGTGATGTGTGAAAACAACTGGGTGGTCTGTCCCTAATTTGCTTGCTTGAAGAATTTGTTGGATTGAGTGCTTGCTGCTACATCAATCTCTAATTTTGATTTAGTTTTTAAATGGGCTTTCAGGCTTTCAACTCTAATTTGGATCTTCGTTAAATATAATAATATCCTCACCAATTACTTGGTACTGAAAAAAAAAAATGTTGTATATTTGGTATAGCTGGTTTGTGGTGGTGTTGTGGAGACGAATGTTCATTAGAAGTGGTGTGAAGAAGAAAGGGATAAAATTGGTATTTTTTAAGAAAAATAAGATGATATCATCACTTGTTTAGTTGTCAGTAACGGTTTGACATGGTAAGGGGTATAGTTGAAATAAATATATGAACTATAAGGGAGTCCAGTAAAATTTCATAATCGGGAAGGGGTGTCACTAAAATTAGGCCTATCTCCTGGGGGTGTGGATGAAATTTTTTCTTAAAACTTCTTCCTTGAATAGTAATCTTTTTCTAAGTATAAAAATGTCAAGATGTAGAAGCCATATCCTCTTCAATGAATTTGATCGACTAAAAACCAAGCAGGGGGGTCCTTTCACAAACACCTTTTACATTCACTGCCGCAAGCACATTTCACAATTTAAGAGGTTGTATACCTAGCTTAGAATAAGATAGCTTAGCACATGCAAGGTAAAACTTAAAAAGGCAAGCAATGGGATAAAAATTGGAGAAGTGATAATCTCCTCCCAATGTGCGAGCAGTATATACACTACATGGACATAAGATGGTATAGTAAAAGGAATAAGAATCTGGTACCATCGATGGATGACAATGGAGAATAATGAGACTAGAAAATGAATAGAGGTTCTCTTCACGCATCATAGCACCTAAAGGACAAGTTGGAGGGCAGAAAAATTAAAGACGTCTTTTTCTATCTTATTTTGCTATTCAATTTAAATCAAAGACGTATTTTTTTTATCTCCTCTTTTCATACAATAAAATGAAGGTCCTAATGGGTTAAAAATAACCAGAAAAAAATGGATAGAACTCATTAGTCATTGACTCATTACCAGTGAATATGGTTATATTAATAACAATTTCCAAAAGGGACTAGAAATAACTTGGTTTTTTTGGCAAAAATAATTAGAAATGTATCAATATTAACCTCAATCAAACTTTGACAATTAGGGAATCAAACCAAATTTCAGTTAAGTTCTGTTCATCGAACTTCAAGATCTTGCATTGATCATCGTTGTCAATTATCCAAAACGGAACTGTGGAAAGTAGGACTGTTAACACAGCACTATGATGGATGTACCAAAATTCTACAACTTACCATATTCTAGTTTTTCTTCCAACTTTATTTTACAGTTTTTTTCTGAGCTGCAACAACAAAACAAATTAATAATATAGACACCAGATACATTGACCAAGTGGGAATTTAAGCGCCATGGTCCATCATCAAAGGAAATTTCGTTGAGTCCCTACCGCATGTATGTGGGCTGCATCCCATTTTTGGAGCTATGTAACGCGTTTTTATTCGTAAACAGTATATATATTGCATATAAGAAAACAAAAAGATACCAGATTTTGTTAAGGAACAAGAACAACTCAGTGGTTTTGTATGGTGTTGAATCGAGCTTACTTGAAATGGAAACCGAGTGCATCACCTAGTCATCTTCGATTCACGAATTCCCGGAAACAAGTTCTGGTGATGCATTTGTTGGTCAGCTTTTTGCGTGGATATTGGATCACTCCAGGAGTGATGAGGACTAGGGTTCTGTTTGGAAAGATAAATCAATTCCCACGTTGTCATGAGCTAAAATCTATCATTACAATTATACAACCCTGGTATAGATGAAAGTGGCGATGATGAAAAGAAGATAAGTTCGTAAAGTACCGGAACCGCCATTGAACTGGATTTGACAGAAGAGAAGCGGAGGGCAGGGGCTGCCAGGTTCCTTTCCTAAACGACGCCGGAAGAGAAATTCTCAATGGACAATAATACCCAAACGTAGTACGGTACAATTTGCTTGATGCCCCTCAAATACTCTGTTAATCAAGTAAATAATATGGGCTAAATATTTGATGTTAACAAATTATATTATCTCATCGCTGTCACATAATAAGTCATGTCGGGCCACCTGTAGGCACCTACTTAGGGACCCCAAGTTACCTGTGAGCAATTCCTAATTCTCCCACAAAATTATATAATTGAATTAACAAAAAATGATCAATTAAAAAATTATAGTAATTAAATTTAAAATTTTTAAAATAACAATTTCAAAAATAATTCAAATACTAATAAGAACAAATCATAAATTCAGACGTCTTACATTTAAATTTTGACAATTCATTGAGATTAGATCATAAAAAATTTATCCCAAAAAAAAATTAGTCAATATATATATAAATTAACTAGGATCCTTCTTACCGTTGAACAAAAAAATTATAATAAAAATAATTCTCACATTTATTACGGGTATGTATCTCTGTGAATGCAGTCCCATGACTTTTTGGTAGTGTTTTCCCTTAAACTTCATATCTCATTATTTCTTTCTTGTTTTTTTAATTTCAAATTTTTAGTAACTACAAAATTCAAATTGCACTATATTTTTTAACAAAAAGTAGGAGTTCTACTAGCCCTCATTTTAAATAAGTTTGAAGGTTTCTAGTCTATTTACCTAGTTTAATTTACTTGATCTATATATTTTAGTTGATTAACGATACCCTTTGTAATGCATGGATAATCATTTTTGTTAATTCATGTCATATATAGTCCATTATCAATTATGACTTAGAGAGATTTGGTTATGGCGAAAACTCGCCACCGAATGAGGTCCAGATACCCACGAAGGTCCATTTGGTTTTTATATAAGTTTAGGGTGATGTATTGGATCTTTAATCCCATCGAACGCCTCTACTTGCGGCATCCGGAACTTATGAGGCAAAGAAAAATGAAGGACCTCGGTGATGAAGGGCGATTTGGTTTGTTGAACTAAAACATCCATGGTGACAGACGTTTTCCCTTTTACTATTACCTTCACGTTTCCTAGCTTCTATTAGATCTCGCAAATTCTTTGCTCCCAAAACTAGTCCATAGTAACATGCGGAGGCAGGGGGCGATCTTTTCTCGGCATGGCTCTGGCCCAGCTATGGCCCTCATCATCTGTACGTTCATATGGCTGCCTCCACCAGTTGTTCTCTCTAGAATGGTTGTGCTCATAAAGATCTATGACTCTATTAGGTGGTATCTAGCGATCTTGATAAGGAATGTCATTTTGAGTTGGTGGTGTCGGTTGTACAGGTGGAGCTTGTGAGAGGTGGTATATTTGTATCCATGTCACCAAGTCTTGATTCTACTTTATAAGCTGCATCGTGGTCCAACGATATGTCTCCAACTCATTAAGAGGAAGAAGGTTTACTATCGAAGGGTAGTTCTCAACATTCGTTGTTGGGGCAGGGATGCTCTCTAGTAGGTTCTACGAGACTTGGGAGTTTGCGTGAGACTTGCTCATGTTTCAAGTCGAAACCATCAAACCAATAAAAATATGAAGAACAACCAAAGGAAACGATGAAAACCATTCTCACAGATGTCGTCAAGTTGATGGTACTAGAAATTAATTTGCCAAAGTGCAAAACAACGACTGTGTAAGGCCCAGTAAGGGCAATGTGAATATTTTGGTTAATAAGGATGTAACACCCCCTCTACATGGCATAATATTGTTCACTTTGTGCCCACTAGCCCTCACGGCTTGGATCCTCCCAGTATTCCTAGGAAA